CGACGTGACCCGGTCAAAGCAGTTCATAGCCATAATAGCAATTTTTTTTTCTTCAGTTCATTGTTCTTACACTGACATTAATTTTGCTTAGTTAACCTTCAAAACTCAAGTCTCGTCGTCTCACCAAATCAAGTAGCGGTAAAAAGATGATTGTTTGCTTAATTTAAAATTAAAATGTTTGTCTTAAAAATTAAATTCAAACCCTGTGCCGCTTAAAGCCTTTGACACTAAAGAAAAGAATATTTATCTTGTAGCAGATGTTTATAAAGTACGACAAACATGACAGTGTATACATAGGTCCACGTTCTTGGAAACTATCCAAATCTGAATGTTACACTGTATTTATACATTGCCCGGTGTAAACTACAATATTACCAACTTTACCTACCGTGTGCGCCATGTATGATGCAACAAATGGAAATTTCTAGTGACCTTTTGTTTTTCGAAGGCGTGAATAGCTCCTATGCAAATATTTTGTAGTCACGGCACGCGGCAGTTGCAGAGCCCTACAAATTTGATCGTTGATAAGTCCGGGTTGTTGACCCTGCGCGCACGACTGACTAAGATTCTCTCGAATCGACTGATGGCGGGAATATTGAATAGAATTTTTTAGTGGTGATTTCATGGTTATCATATTGAAAATGCTTGTCCAGCATTCGAGCAAGTTTATCTGTGACACTTAGTACCCAATGCTTCTTTTTACAGTTTAAAAAGAGAAGACTGTTAATTTAAAATTTACATGTTTAAGATTTTAATCACGTTCACGCATTATTCAAGAAGACATATAAGCAAATCAAACAACCAGATTTTAATAATTAAAATAGCTTGTTACGAAAATAACGTGCAAGGTTTCAACAAATTAAAATAAAAGTATTATCGGAATAGGTAGTTAGTTACGATTCAAAGTTATCGGTAGGTACTTTACCTCCTGTTCACAGAAGCGATAGAGTGCCCTACGAGGAAACCACGGCCTATTTAGATAAGAACCACCAACCAGAGCATGCAAACACTACAACATTGGCCCACCTAGTAGCACTGGCGCCGACGGTCTCAACAGTTTCTAATATTTAATTTATTATTAGAAATTGGAAGAATTAGTATTAACGAACTGTTCGAGAATTGCGCAATAAAAACTATTAATTTGATAATTCATTAAAATTAAGATAAAGTGAAGTATGTAACAAACAATTGACGTAAGAAAAAAAAGTTACGTGAATAGTTTCTAACAATAATCAAGAATAATAATGCAGCGGGCAAAACTTTTATGAAACATAAAGCTATCTAGTAATACAAATACAAATATCTCTAGGAATACTGTTATCGTCAGAAAAACCAATGTGTCAATTTATTGAACACTGTTATTACAAATTACATAGTAATAATATGAAGTGATATTGGATTGACTAGCGAATATGAATCAGAGGACCTGAATAAGGTCCCAAGGCTCGTGTGGTACAATTCCATACATCCCTCGGGACTGTTACTAAGAGGGGAGAGAGGATAGAGCAATTACCTAAAAGATGGAGAGTACAGAATAGGAACAACGAAAGTATATTATGAACTCGACTGTTTTGTATAAGATTTAATTTCAATGTATTTTTGTATAACAACAGTATGTTTTTCAGGGAATAATTACTTTATGATATACCTAGTACTTAGGTAATCTGCTAATTTATCAGACTTATTAATATAATAACAATAAACTTTATGATGTACTTACATAATACGTATTATGCTATTTACTACTACTTCAGTTGACGTGTTTTTTGACGCCGTTCATAGACGATATTAGAAGTCAATATTTAGCAATACCAAAGGCTGAGGTCAAAGAGAAATTAGTATTTCGTTACAGATATAATGACCTCGTTTCTGAAAACGTAATAACACGTAGCGCGCTCTGGGTGTTACTTACGAATTCAGAAAGTTTTAAAACGCCTTATCACAAAACGATCAATGGTTAGGTTTAAAATTCCTAGTTGATATTATAACACAACCCAAATCTTTAACAGCCTAAGTATAATTTTGTACTGCCAAATGTTTTAAAATTTATAGGTTTATCAATATGATTTAAGTTTCTTAACGAGCCACTAAAATCTATTAAATTGCCTTCGTGGTTTTACGTTTAAAAACATCAGGATTAAACATGATTTTTTAAATTACATTATACGCTTTTCATTACATAACTAAGCTTGAAGCAAAGAAACATGAAAACCGGTTTAATAGTTGTATCGTTGACTCTAATTTCGGTGTTGTACTTAGTACTTATCAGTCTGTTTCACGACTTTGTTGAATGAGTGACAAGTAAAAATAGTGGATAATTGAAAACTGCTTCCAATGACCATATTTGAGCAAATAATAATTTGACTTTTTACAACTGCAAAGTTGGACGATTCAAAAGTACTGTTAAGAGTCTATTTGAATAAAGATTATTTTGACTTTGACCGATTTTGCCGAATACTCGAAATTTGAAATTATAAGTACGTGTGACTCGTTCAAAACGTTCATGTACGCCGAGCATCTACTAAAACACAAATGCTCAAGCCAACTTTAACTTAAATAACATTTTTTTTATCAATAGTATTTATTAAATTAGGTTCATGAACTTTTGGCCTTTTGAATAAGTAACTCAACAAAGACAGCGTGGTTGCGAGTCAAAGCCAACTTAGATGCGCCACGCACACTGCCATGCCGCTCGTCTCGACTCGAGTTCAGAATAACAATCGAACCGTGGGAAATAGCCGCTAAATATTATGAAATGCGTACCACCAATCCCATCGAGGATGTTTCACCTAAACCCAAATAACTTCACTAAGTGGTGGCCACTGAAGAATAACAAACAGACCGTGTGAATTCATAACGGTTGTTGCGTCACTAGCACGGAGCTGCAACGTAACCATGTCTATTGGGCATTTACTAACATTTTCCACATTACACTATCTGCCACTTCATATAATCAATATTTTGCATCACTGATGATTTTCTTTAAAAACATATTAACATAATTAACAGCACCCATACATACTCTCATTGTAGATACTTTTAGATATTTATTATTTTGTAGGTAAGAAATTCATAATTCAAGAGGTACCTCCAGAACAATAAAGGAAAATGTTTTTGATGATTATACTGGTTTTACTTCAGGTAAAATCTAGTTCTATTACAAAAAATAAACTACTTTCTGATGATATAACCCATTGGTAGCTATTTATCCGGCTATAAAAAGCATAGTAGTAGTACTCCTGACTTGTGTACGTGGATAGTTCAGCCTTCACATTTTAGAGTAGACTGTAATTTGAAAATATTATCGACAAATTTTGCTGATTCCAAAAATCATAATGTGAACTCTATCTTTTAATATTAAATATAACTTTTATATATGATTTAAAAAAAATACACTTTTTCAGTTAATCTTAATCTGTCAATATTTTATTTTGAGGATTGATCATGGTATAATCCAGTAATCAGCATGAACAACCAACAACTTATGTAATCTGTCATTTAATGAAGATTATGTCAGTGAGGTTACCAAGAAAATAAATATCTCAAGAAGTCCCATCGAAGTTTCCATAATGTTGATAACATTTTAGGAATACTATGAAAACGTGCCATATTAAAAAAATCTTCAAATATTATAATGCAAATCAAACTACATATTGGTGTCCACATTTCATATTAAAAATTTCTAATTTTGGCTTGATAGAAAGATGTTATAACTGCAAATTTGTTAAGATTACAATATAGGTTAATACATAACACCTTACAATAATAGACCAAAAGTTTACAGATATTTTGAGATTTTCATTAGACTTATATTGCCTAGGTACCTTATTATAAAGTTCCGGTTACAATAAAGACTAAATTAGGTTTACTTTATACAGGTTTATAATAAGCATAGTTATTTTAATTTTCTGAATCAGGTAACACTAAAATTTAACCGAATAAATGACTACAAGATGAGATATCAGTGAAATAATGACTAATGAATAAATAATAATACAATAATTAATATAGGTATAGTAAAATAAATGATTTTTTAATGGTTATACCCATTATAAAATACAGTCAAACATATACATAATTTTAAACCAGTAAATTAAGAAAACATAATTGAAAAATGAACATGATAAATTTTTTAAGAACAAATATACCCACTACAGAATTTATACTTAATATTGTTAGTTGTAAGGACAATTAAATCATCATGGAATCAGCAAAGTTTATTGATTCCATAGAGATTCTGATACTTAGGCCTCAATATAAAATAAATGTTGTTTGGATAAATTACAACTAAATAGTTCGTTTTGATAATGTTGTTAATCATTTAAATAAACGATACTTTTCATAAATTAAATTGTAGATATTTTTTGAATCAGATAAAATGAAAATTACAAAGTAATCATTAGTAATATTGAATCTAATCAGATAACTCAATACAATGTACTTATCAATCACAAAAAAAGAACAAGATGGTTGTAAAAATATCTAATTATATTTTAGTAATACTAGCAACATCACTAATAAAGGCAACTTTGAACAAATGCATAGCATACTTTGCTTGTTCAAAGTTGCCTTAGACAGAATTATACATTTGTTATTGTAAAGAATTTATAGCTATATCAGGCTATGTATATTATGTATCTCACAAAAGAGAAGTGTAAGTATTCTTTCAAAAAAACTACAACTACAACATACAGACTCTGAGTTGAATGTGCTGGAAATACTGAATTAAATACGTAAGACAATATGCAGGTAATTCCGAAATTTTATGTTGGTTGGTTGTTTTAACATAGAAAAAATAAAAATCATATTTTTAAGGAAATATATAAATAAATGTAATTTTTTACACAAACTCTTGTGGTAGATGTAGACTACTATGGGGGCCACAAATACTCACAATGAGCATCTGATCTGATATAAGCATATGAAATAAATTATGGGTAAGGGGGTAAATAAATAATGTATACCTACCTGAACTAAGAAAAAAGGATTGTCTCACTCACCTCACTGAAGGCCATCACTCCGGCCGGAACTCTTTCTCCTTCCGACCTCTCAAATTATTATTCTATCACGGTCGATCAAAACAAATAGTTCAAGCTTTTGTTTCCCAACATTGACAAGAGACCCGACGTAAAGCATCCCCACGACACAAATACATCTGAACTCTGTAACTTCACTCACTGCGCAGGAACAAAATTTTTAATTTCGACTAAAATGAAAACACCTGACCAAATCACAAATCACTGAAAAAAACCAACATTCCTCAGGTGGCTTAAAGACACATTTTAGTTAAATCAATAACACTCATACTACTAACACTTCCACGTTAAATATAAAAAATTTCACAAATATTTAGAGCAGTACACCATTCCGAAATAATGTTCAGAAAGCAACATCTGAGAGAAATTATCACAATGAACCATCAAACGGAGATGAACTCGCCATCTTGCTTTCATGTCATAATCAGAGGTACCAACACACAGGCAACAAACGAAATCCCGTCAACTCAACAAACAACAGGTAGTGCAACATGACAATAGATGTGAAGGTAGCCAATTAGGGATGCAACGATAGGAAATAATCGGTTTGATATCGATTACAGAAACACTATAATCAATAACGTCGATGCAAAAACTCACATGGCATCGTCACCTCAGTGTCAATTATTTTTTACTTTTCATATTATTTGACTGCACCAAAATGAATAGATAACCAAATCTGATCGACTTGCAAAATGCAATGAAAGAATATCTATTTGTAAAACTCTACACTCGAAATTGTTTTATTACGTTTTAGCAACAACTATTAATTATTGCTTTAAGCATTAACCCACAAAACTCTGGCCAAATTAATTTATTCATATATATAAGCAAAAGGTCACTCACTTCCTCAATCACTCACTCAGTTTCAATACGGGATTTTATGAAATTCAACCCTTAAGGGGGTAAATTAGGAGATGCCAGTTTGTATGTAACTTAGTTACTACAAGTGCTAGAGTGTTTCAAATTTTGCATGCGGGTTTTTTTTAGGACGTAGGTGATCGCTAAGACTGGATTTTACGAAATTCGACCTCTAAGGGAGTAAATTAGGAAAAGAAAGTTTTTATGGAATTTTCTCACTAGATCACTACTAGAAACTAGATCACGCGGGCGAAGCCGCTGGCGGAAGGCGAGTTATCTATATTTGGTATTATTTAATTAAAGGATAACGGATCTAGTGCATACCTAGGCTAGGTGGTATTTTTTGTTTTCACTGAATCGTTACATATTACAGGTAGTCTAACTGTAAATTTATTGAAAGCTAAGTCAATATTAGAATGTTATTTTTACAAACACTTATTACTTATTAAGTACTCTTAAAAATCTTTGTGGCGGTGTAGTGTGCTTCGGGTCGTTACGTTCACTTAGTTGAACGACAAATATAGTTGAACGAAGCAATGGCTGGCTCATGTGTCAAGCTCGTCAACGGGTGCTGCCCGTGGGGGTGAGTTTGCACTGGACTACTTAAATTCGTCCATTTTCTGTTATTATGAATAAATTATATTGATTTGTCAACAAGTGTGTAGGATTTCTGATATTGTAATGGAAAGTTACTTCATAGCCTAATGAGGAAATATTTAAAAAATAAAAATTAGTTCTTGACATCATACTAGATGTCACTCGCGATGTTTGGATTTTGTTTATGATATTTATTCAAAATTTGTTTCCTACGTAAAAGTAAATTGAGTACCGAAAATTAATAAATATGACATCGTTTTGTGTTTCTTATAATATCTAACTTTCAAATAATTTTAATCATTTTAATCGTAAGTTTAAGTTGTTTATTAGATTACGTGTAAAGGAACGATGTTTGGTTGATACGTCAACATTAGTGATGAGCAGAGCTCGGAATTAGGTAGAGTTATTTATGTACTTGCATCGAAATGTTGATATTAATGTGGACCTTCCCGGGATTTCTAATGGACAATCCCGTGTGGCCAACAATCTTACAACAAAATAATAATAAAAACGTCAGAGATAGACAAATAAAACAAAGATAATTAACAAAAAAAAATTATTAGTTTACATTAATTTACAATTAATCTCGGGATTTGAGGCATATCCACTTTATTCTTTCGCTGTATGAAATCAGTGTAAGTACATGAATAACTCTACCTAATTCCGACCACTGGTGATGAGCCAACTTATTGATTGCTCGTAACTTTCATCTGAATTCAGATTTGGAATGAAGAACAAAAAGCGGAGCGCAGATTTCAGCTTGTATTTGTATGTGTCATGCAATCACAACAAGGTTATAACTTTAAATTTCAAAATCACATAGACACGTACAGTTATTCGACGGCAATCTTGCATGTCGACGGCGGACGTCGAGCCATATGTTAAGTTAATTCGTACGGTGGGTAAGTGCTTTTTGGTTCTTACAATAATATTGTTAATAATAGATTGACTTCCTACACAACCTACTCTAGAAATCAGTTTTATTGAAATATATTATTTACTAAGTACCTAGAGTAGTCATGCTCTCTTAAAATCTTTGCGGTGGTGTCGTGTGGTGGTGGTGGGGTAGTATAGTTGAGTTATATAGTTGAAATTAAAAAAGCAGCCCTTGCTGAGTTTCTTGCCGATTCTTGTCAGTACAAGATCTCCCTCAATAGTTTTGCGAACCATTGGCAAAGTTTTCGACTTTCACAAGCACTACGTAACAGCCTAAGCTGAATAGATTTTGATATTTACATTAATATCATACGTTTTGTGGATGCATAATGACACATAAAAAAGAAGCTGAATTCAGCGCTCCGCTTTTTGTTCTTGATTCCAGACATGAATTTGGATGTATCGAGTCAATTGAAGTTACGAGCAACCAATCAGTTGGCTCATCACTAATGTTGACGTATAAATCAAACATCGTTCCTTTACACGTAACATAATAAAAAACTTACAATTCAAATAAATGAAAATCAATTTGAAATTTAGATATTATTACAAACACGAAACGATGTTATATTTATTAATTTTTGAAACTCAATTTAACTGTATTATGTCAGAAACAAAATTTTAATGAATATCATAGACAATATCCAAACATCGCTAGAACAAATTATTATGTTTAACAAAATATAATTAAACTAGCTTTTGCCCGCGACTTCGTCCGCGTGATATAGTTACTTTGGGCATCATATTTTCCAAAAACGCTGTTGTTTTTTGAACTGATGATGAAATTACCTTGATGTATAAGTTCGAAGATAGTACAACAAAATACCAACGAATGTCCAATATGTTTCAGCACTTTATCTTTGAAACTATAGAGATATTAATCCAATTCAATTCCAATTCGAGTTTATTTGCAACTTACATCGTGACACAAAATTTTTATATAATAAAGATATAGATCAAAACTGAAATATATCAGAAAACAAAATTAAAACGCGTTAATGAATGACCAAGCTATAAATTATTTAAAACTACGTGTTTTCGCACGGAACTTCTTCCGACTCGCCTATGGCATCACTCATCCATCAGTCATCACAGCACCGAACACTATATCGTTGCACTACAAATTAAATAGAAGTTTTTGCAAAACATTTATTATTTTCTACTTTTTGGGTACTCTGGCTTTTTTCTTTTGTTATTTATGTACATTAAATTCTATTTTTTTATTTGTATGTAGTATTTATATTTCTATAATAATAAGAAGAAAAAGAGAAGTGTATATTTTAGAACCTAAAAAGGTAAAGATATTACTTTTAATGTGTATTAAACTTGTTTAGATACCAATCAGTATAAAAATCAAGTAAGTGCGAGTCGGAATTCGCGCATCGAGGGTTCCGTAGAAATATTATATTTTAATACCTTGCCACAAAGCTAACATTATTGGACTGAATAAAATTATGCGGACGTTTTCTAAACATGTCCTCGAATGAATGTTTCCGTAACAGATTTCGCTTTTGAGGTCTCTTCGGTGCTATGTTCGATGGTCTTGTATCCGTTGCGACAGGTCATGTTATCATTTGAAGGCTTGTAATGACATATGTGTTTGAATGGTCTTTTTCTTCAGATATTGATATTAGACTGCTAGTTGGGATATTCCATGGCATACTTTCCGGAACAAATTCTAATTCTCAATTTTTGTTCTGCGTTAATTTTTCTCTCAGGTGAAATAGCACATACCTCATTGAGACATTGTTTAAAACTATTTCTGGTGGGTCCCATTCCTTTTGCATCTCCTGTATGGGAGTGGAGGACTGCGGCACGTTAAAGCACTCCGGTTGAACGAGCTACCGTCCATTATGGTTATAGTTATTATTCAATACAAAATTACACTAATCATTATTATAGTCAACTGACACACATTTTGTTTTTATGCTTCCGCGTAAGTTAAACTAGCAAAAAGATAGTATAAGTAGGTAATCGCTCTTACGACTTAAGATTGAAAAACACTTGTATGATAGATCCCATTATTTCAAATAGTTACATAAAAGCACATCTCTTGATTTTTTTGTACTTGACATATTTATAATGCGTTTACTCGATGATTGTATAAAGATATCTCTTGATCGCCTTCATTTAACTGTAAGAGATATGAAATATAAAAGTTATTGACTTGCTAATTTGTAATCGAACTAGCCTTTAAAGGCTAGTGGGATAACAGTTCAGTTAAATCTATAATAACAATGTAAACGACATTTTCTTGGATTATTGTAAAGGAGTCGCGCATAAATTGTTCTGTACCGTGTCGACTATTACTTGAAAACATTAAAAGCCGAATATAATGTGATAGTTTTCATTTTAACTTCGTTATATATAGGTACTACTGCCGTGACGTATTACTAACAAACAACCTTTTAGTTGTTAAAAATGGGGACACTTGACTCTAACGAAAATTAGCACTTTAAAGCTTAATAAGTCACGAAGATTTACTAAGTCTTCCCACACCCCAAAACTTTTGACTAACTTGTCCAACGATTATAATTTCTTACCTTCAGAAACACATTTGCGACTACGAGTGATTGCAATTGATTAGAAAAAGCTAATATGTTGTTTTAATGCCGTAATGGTGTCTATTGTAGTACTAGTAATGTTCATATTGCATTTACTCTATATAATTTCGACTCTTTGGCTATTCAACTAATTATCTTACGATATTTACAGCATTCATAGCTGAGAGAAGTGCGCTCAAATCACGTGGAGTAAACGTGCACAGATCATTTATAGGACATATTAAAGATCCTTCACTCCACCAACAGCTGAAATAAAAGCATTCTGCTGGCTTTTTTACGATAACATTTGCTAGTTGGGATATTCACTAGAGTTCAAAAACCGGGTGTTAGAGTATTAAACCACAACCGAAGCCGGTGGCTTCAGCACCGGCACTGCTTAGAGTTTAATTCTCTAAGGTTATTTCAACAAAATTTTGATGTCTGTGAGAATCTATATAACACTTTATTTACGTGTTTCATCTGACCTTAATTTTCTTGGACCTTTCTATTTTTCATGAAACATTGATATTCGCATAAAGTCCAATGCTTTATAAGTTAGTAGTTAAAATGGATATTCCACAGGGCTTAAAACTTGGTCCTTTCTTGTCTTTAATTTATATGACTTGTCTTATTTCGTATGCGATTGTTTCTTTGCAGATGACACTTTAATTTTATTTAAAATGAAAAGAGGACTATCACTTTTCTATTTTTTTGTATTTGTTAGTGAGTCTTCTGTGTTCTGTGGTTAGAGTGGTTGGTACTTTGTTCAACATGAATAAACTTTTGCTTAATGAAGACAAACGAAATGTTTTAAATGATTATTACCTCACGTGAAACAGGTACATTTAGATATAAATGTGAATATACAAGAAAGGAACAAATGGATACCCCAGTGTGTTTATTAAGTATTAAACTAGATTAAATTGGGATCATATATTCATAAATTGTCGAATAGCCACTAAGACCATCTAAGGAACGTAAGAACTTGGATTATATTAATAAACCCAAGAGTCACCACGAAAAGATCTAAACGAGTACCTATATAATAGGTAGATGCCTAGGTAAGATATCCGGTTATATTGCTTCGATCAACAATAGGTACAAATAAATTGTCACACTGTTCAAAACCATAGACAAATGTTTATTTTTTTCTTGGATCATGAGTATTTATGTCCTTGATGTTTGTTTAATTTATATTCCAGTTGTGTTTACGAATTAAATTCTCTTTGATTTTATAACATCAATATGTCATCGCAACAGTCTTCGAAATTATAGTTTTGATAATTTTTTTATTACAATAATATATATGACGGTATTGCGTAAATTTTAACCTATTTTTCTGAGTGGCGACCTGGTTACAGGAGGTAAGTGTAATTTGCGCTTATTAATTTCCGCGTGTAGGTACTGAGCGAGGGTGATTTGCGATGCCTCCGTGACGTCACTCATACAGGCAGGTGCCAGGCAGAGATGTGCGCGGATGGCTGATAGCTTCGGACTCCAAATGTAGGTTACATCAAAATGGGTTATTGCACTGGCTATACGTTCAGTCCAGCGCAACCTTCCGCTTCGACCGCACGCTTATGAAGGAACATTGGTGAAAATGTTGGCAGGCGCTGATGTCGTGCTCTGTTGTAGGATTCCGGAAGGCAAGCGAGGCTCATGGCTGTAACAATGGAGCTTGAGGAGAGCGCGTCAGACTCGAAGTTGCACAAGGAGAGTACAGCTAAAAAGGAACTGCGACCTTCGAGCGCTGTTTCGTTCTCTAAATCTGATCATGGACCAGGTAAAACCTTATGATTTTTTACCGCTTACTAATAAAGTAACGAATTAAAGTTTTTATACACCTTTTGTAGTTTTAGCCACGAGTCCCAGCTCGTTAATATCCCGGATTATACACATTCCTCATAATACGTGACATGGAAAAGTATCACAATTTCTAGTTTCCATAATACGAGGTCCTATAAAATCTGACAGCATGATTTTTTAACTTTAATAATCTATTTGAAAGATATGGATAACAGATGGCACGACTAATTACAAATTTTACAAAGCTTGTGCTGTGCAGCAATGTGTAGCTTTAGGGGCGTCCATAAATTACGTGAGATGTTTAAGGGGGGGAGGGGGTCGAGGCCAATCTCATCTAATCTTACGTTGGAGAGAGGGGGGGGTCTCGGCAAATATCACGCAATTTTTTTCTGATTGAAACAAAAAAAAATACTATTTTGGTCCATTTAATCTAGATTGTACATGCTTAAGATTTAATCTTAAGCGTAATCGTATACGATTAAGATCATTCACTAATTCGTTCGAAAGAAAATAATTTCATTCATACTTCGACGCTATACATCTACTGAATGTCAAACCACCATATTTGTAGGGCTCGAACGATACTTTCGATACCGAGTAGGTATCGATACTTTCAAAAGCGATACTCGATACTGAGTACTCGATACTACAACAAGGCAAATACTCGCAAGTACTCATCAAATTGCATTTTGAAAAATCTCACGTGAGATTGGGGGATGGGGGAGGGGGTTGAATAAAATCTCACGACATCTCACCAGAGGGGGAGGGAGGGACAGAAAATTTAAAAAAACACCTCACGTAATTTATGGACGCCCCCTTTGTAAAAGCTCATATACACGGCTCAGGAATTCCCTGCGGATGGCATCAAAAATGTGAATAGGTCATAACGCACCACACAGGCCCAACGTCGAAAACAACAGTCACGACATATTTTTAACCTCCACATCGCAGGTCAATCGCCTTCACCACTGCACCATCGAGATCCAAACTCATATCATGTTGTACAGTACACATATCACACACACTCGATTAAAAATTATTTAAAATATTTACTTGAATATAAGAGCGTAAAACGCAAAAAGAATCCGCGATTGAAGCTCTACTACTGTTAGCTCAAAGGTTTTAACAGTGAAAGTTAGACGGTTAAAATTTTCACAGATGATGTATTCAATAGTAATACTAAAAACTAGAATAAAATAAATATTTAAAGGGGACCTACACAACAAACGTGATTTTTTTGCTTGTTTTTGCTCGATATTGATAACGACTTGAAATATTTACAGAATATGTTTTTATAAAGTTACTTTAAAAATAAATAATTAAATTAAAATTTAACAAATATTTAAGATGGGCTCCCACACAACAAAAGTGTTTTATTTTTGCTCGCACTCGACCGGTTGTTTCAACACTTTTATTTTGTAATTTGATTTTGGTTATCGGTTAAAATCAAAATTGTGTGTTGTGATTGTGTTGATCTGGGTTGCCTTTTTAATATAATATTAATATGTTGTTCTCTCTTTTACCATGTTTTCCAAATAAATCATATTATCAAATACTAGCTTTGCCAGCGGCTTCGCCCGCGTGGACCCTTGGGAAATGTTTAGTGGGATAAATAGTATCCTATTATCTAAGTCAGCTAATCACCAAATTTCATCAAAATCCGTTCAGTAGTTTCGGTGTGATTGACGGACAAACATCCAAACATCTAAACATCCAAACAAAGAAACTTTCACATTTATAATATAAATAGGATAGTCAATTTTTCATTAACACACCCGTAGTTAACAATTACTAGTATCTGGGTTCGAAACTCAACACTTTTTGAGCACATACTAAAACATTTAGCATAAATACGTTACTCCTTAGTCACTTGAGTCTCAAAGCTCCAAAATTTAACTTTGAAAAATAATTCCGAGATGACGTTTTTATCTAGCGATCTTTATCAAAACAGTCTGGCGCAAGGTTATTCAAGTTTACCGATTTGTCTGCTCTTAAAATTCATTCGCATTTAACAACAGTTGTTCTGCGATCATGGAACATACAACTACTCCGATTTACCGGGAGTGTAGAAACGAAAATTATTATTATGGTAATAAAATTAATATAATTTTATGTTAACCTAATTAATACATACTTTTCTGTTAAATTCGCGTTATCTCAAAACACCAATTAAAAGCACCTAAAAGTTTTGGGATCAGGCCCGTCTTACGCACAACAGACGCCCGGGTGCAAGAAGTGCTCTGGCGCCCCCATTAGAAAAAAAATCAGCTGCACAATACCTTTATATTAAGAGATTTGATCTAATGAGAAGTTCAATAATTTATCTTATTAGAAACGACGTCGTCGAACGAACAACTGAAACAATTCAAGAGTTGGGTAAGTAACGACAGATGGAATGAGCTAAAGAAATTAGCAGACATCGCAATGAAGGAACGGAAAGTGTTTATGATCAAAGGAGGCGGTTTCCCGGCTGTCCGCAGAGCGTTACTAGAAAGAGGATGGCTTGAAAAATATGAACCAAATAAGGTACGTGTATATATTAAAACCACATTAAAATCTGTTGTGTAGTTTAAAAGATCTCAGCCTTTACACACCGAGAAGTGACGTGTTTTATACAATGTATATTTCGCAGACAAGTAGTATAATCAGTCGACTAATAAAAAAAGTTATTTAACTTGTGTAGGTCAAGAAATTTAAGACAATCGCGAAGCATACCCAAGTAGCACAAAACACCATTATATCAAACTTAAAATAGCACGAGTATGCTTAACGCTCGGTATAAGAAAATCGTATATCAACCGTATTTCTTTTAAACGACTCTTATACATAAAAACTTGGGCCCCCCCTTTGTACGAATTTCGAGGCTATTTAACCGATAAAAAAATACATGAACGTTGTGGTGGCTTTTTTAATCAGCCGTCTTGTTGAACTGTCCAAATGTCATAATGATTAAACTAGAAAACTAGACGTCTAAATAATGGCCAGCCGCCCAATTGAACGGCTGTTTAACTAATTGGTTAAAGTAGTTAGTATAAAGTTAAATAATCATATTTAGTAGGTACCAAATTCGCGGGTTCAATAAATTACCTGTTATTCTATACATTATTAATGATCTTAACATTGATATTGATTAAATATATTGGACAAAGAAAAAGTTCTTTCAATAAGCTTATTTTAATTTGATCGCATTTTCTTTATTCAACACCAATCCATATTTACAATTTGTCATGGATATGCTCGTGTCGTGGCTGTAAGGGTCTTTTGAACTTATTGATAATTCAAGGTCATTGCTACGAGCTCCAGACTGAAGCTCTAGGCCCTTAACCTTCTCATTATAAAACATAATTTATTGCGTAGAGACTACTTGAATAACTGAGTACTTTTTTAACTTAATGGTTTACAGACACACAACTCGTGTCAAGTCTGCACATTTTTCATTGAAAATACATTAAAATAGGATAGCAACAATGTTATATAATTCAAAAGAAGTTAAAATTGTACTACTTTTATCTATTATATACTCAATGTTACGAGTATATGACGTATTGCTATTTATTTATTTTCTTGATAGATGATGTTGAAAGAAAACTATTTGATTTTTTTATTGAAGTAATAAATAGCTATAATGAATATTTAGCAGTAGATAACCCGTATCAGTAAATGTTTTTATTGTAGTTTATTAAAACTATGAAATTTTAGGCTCGTCATCCGCCACCTAACCTAGACCCAAAAAAAGCTACAGGCAAAGAGCTTTCCAGAGTCGAGAGAATGATTTTGTACAAATTTATGGAACAACACTCCGTTGATTTCCTGTGGACGACCAAAAGAGACAAGTACGACTGGTTGCTTAGTAACAAGGAAGTTATTATTAGCAGGTATCAGTTCTATTAATAAAAAGACCTTGAAAGTTTTGATAAACTACCTAGCGTGCCGCTAAATGTGTTCCATACTTTTACAGATTTTGCAGATCGATTTTTACAACTAAAGAAGGATTGACGACCTCGTTGACACAAATGCACTGGTACACGGAACCGGGAGTTGCCTTAACTAGGTTCCCACGAAGCTACAACATTCACAATTCCGATAGCCTCGAAGAGTTTATCGATGATTTCCGAATAACAGCATGCATTAGTGTTCTCAAATGGCTATCGACCACAATACAAACTGGTGGTGAACAAAGTATAGTCGTACCTCAAGGGAAGGTGCCGTTTACCGCTATAGAGTTTGCTATGACTAGATTAAATGAATACATATCTTTCTTTACGCATAAGGATATCGATGATACGGAAGATCAAGCCCAGCATATTTGGGAACATGAGTGGGATCAATTTTTAACGCATCATTACCTCTTGGTGCATGAAAAGGCGAAATTTATGGAAGACAAGAATTTTAATATAAGGTACGTAATATATTTAAAACAAATATCTTATTTAAAAAAGAGTTTTGATAATAATATATTTTTAAGTGTAGTCGGAAGCTTTTGTTATATTAATTACAGACAATTAGAAAAGAAAGCAACCAAAGTACTTGCAGCCATGACGAAGTTCTGGCCACAAATCGACATCGATGGAGTGTTGAATATCTGGATAGTGAAGCCCGGCAACAAATGCCGCGGTCGGGGCATCCAACTCATGAACAACATCAAAGATATCATAGGCCTGATCAATATCCCCGCTCAGAAGACTAGATATGTCGTTCAGAAATACATTGGTATTACTGCTTAATATGTATGCGCTATAAGAAATAATGCACTAATCTTTTAATATTTTTCGTGCTTCTTACAGAAAATCCACTGGTTATTTACGATACAAAATTTGATATTCGTCAATGGTTTCTAATTACAAATTGTCAACCGCTAACTATTTGGATGTATAAGTAAGTTTAGTTTTTAATTATGTGCATGAGCTGTGTACTGTTATAATTATGTCAGCATTGTATCTTAATCTAATTCAATGTTTTATCTCATATAGGGATAGTTATCTGCGATTTAGTTCTCAAATTTTTAGTCTGTCCAATTACCACGAGTCAGTTCATTTGACTAACAATGCTGTTCAGACAAAATATAAAAACAACAATGAACGTGACAAAGCATTGCCTGACGAAAACATGTGGGACTGTCACACTTTCAAGGCTTACCTCCGGTAATCAGTATAATATTAAATTAACATAACTATTTAATTTTATTAAATTAATATTTATTTCTGTGTAAGAATAATGTATAAATATAACGAGTTTCCTTCAATTCTTGCAGACAGATAGGAAAGTATGAATTATGGGATACGAAAATATACCCGGGGATCAAACAAAGTCTTATTGGCGCTATGCTTGCTTGTCAGGAGTCGATGGACAAGCGACAAAACAGCTTTGAACTATATGGTGCAGATTTTATGCTCACAGACGATTTTACGCCGTGGCTTATCGAAATTAACTCCAGTCCTGACTTGGCTCCTACTACTTCAGTTACAGCTCGCTTATGCCCCCAGTGTCTTGAAGACGTTATTAAAGGTAAGAAACAAACAGCAATTATGGTACACTCTACCTAAAAATAAAACTTTATTTTTGTTTATATATTAAAAAATTGCCATCAGAGCAACCACCAGGATTATTATCAGTTTAAAGTAAAGAATGGTCATCGCCACTGCTGCCCCACTAAATTATATTGCCTATTGACTAAACCCACATTATTCAATACTCTGTAGCCTATGGGTTTGGGTGAGTAGCAAGTCTTTGAGAGTAACTTTTCCTATAATTTTGAATTTCTTCTTGCACAGTGGGGTTGTTCAGGTACTGACGTATTTCACTGTATGGTGCATTTACGATGTTTCTGAGGATTCCATTTTGGACTCTTTGAAGACACTGTTGAAGGCCATAGGTTCATATAGGTTTCAATATACGGTTATACAGGAGTAGTGTTGTCCACAGTTAAGACAGAATTCCATGTTTTTATATTTCGAATTGACCTGGTTTCTTTTCTTCTTTATGTGTGTTTTGCACGTGGGATGTTTATCGAGACAAATATCAAGATATTTGACACAGTCAATTTATGGTAAATATAACTTATGATACAAAATAATTTATAGACAACATTTTTCTTTTGCCCAGTTGTTCTAGATAGACGATATAATCCAGAAGCTGACACAGGAACGTTTGAATTAGCCTACAGACAAGTAGTTCCAAAAGCTCCTGCTTACTTGGGATTATCCTTATGTGTTAACGGCAAAAAGGTATATAAAAAGAAGGAGAAGAGACATGAGCCGAAGATTATCAATCCAGAGCCGAGAGCATCCTCCGGTGACATGAAACCAGACGTAGATCAGCCTGTACCTCCTGAATATACTGGTCCAATTATTACAGACTTTCTCACATGGCTAAATCCTTATGACGCTCTACCAACTAATAGAGATGGAATCTTACTAGGTCCAAAGGAATCTCTTACGGTACGCCGTGCTATTACCGTGGTTAAATCGGGAATAAGTAATAATAGCTCTTCCAAAAAACGTAAAACGTCCCTCTCTTCTAGGACTCATCGCGGAAGGCGGGAAAGAAACTATACAGAATCTAAGCGAAGAATTGTACCTCATTCGTGCTATAAGCCTGAAGAGGCCAAGTCAAATAATAATACCGTTAAGTTTCGGACAGAATCTGCACGGAAATTGGACAAGCCGAAAATTGACAGATCGGTTGGTAATAAAAGATGTTATATAGATCCTATCGAATGGGAGCGAGAGACTGCTAGCATATTGCGACCAACAATTTCTGTTCAAAATAAAATAGTACCTAAATCAGACACAGTTCCATCAATAGTGCTACGTCAAACGAAATCTGGTATTTTAACCACACCAAAACTTTTAGGACCTCAAAACTGTGAAGATAGTACAGACTCAATTAAAAAAATAAGCGCTGTTGGTAGAAATATTTGCAAACTTAGAGATGAAAATAGAAACTCTCAAAAAACTATAACTTTTTCTAAAAGTTGCACATCTATTTACGCGCCACCGTACAGAGTTGTAGTAACGCCTTTAAACGACGAAGGTAGAGGTTGTTTTATAAAAAGAAGGGGGACCTAGGTACATACAAATTGTCATATAAGTTTAAAACCATATGGAATATATTGAACTAAGTATCGTCTAGACTGTATATCTCTTTACTGTGAACTTTGATGAGTGAGATTTCACAAATTGTTATTTCTGTAAACATACCAAAATATTTTTCTTGAAGCTGTTGAAATCTTTAAATTTTATTAATATTATATTTATTAAACTATGAAACATATAAATGTATCAGCTTTATTTATGAAGAGTGCTTTATTTTCCAGACAATGCCTATTCCCGAATCTTGCTGTTCCTGTGCCCACTTGCCTCATCCCTCTATCCTCAAGAGTTCAAGACTTATCAACGCCAAACACAAAACCTTTTTGTTCTCGCTGAAATATAATGAAAAAAATATAAGCTAGTCAAATAAGACACGTCAGTAACGTTCTCCTGTCTTGTTGACGTTGTCATTATAGGAAATCAAAAATCTTTCGTGAGATCAAAATGTAATCAAAAATTAGAAATACTAAAATTACAATTAAAGAAATAAATAGTCACTGAAAAAATGTTTCCATTAAGAGCCAAGGTAAATATTAAACAATTCATACATTAACTTACATAATTGATGCTATCATATCAGCCATGCATAATCAAAACATTCATGATTTCTGAGATATTTAACAAAGTTGTTTTATTTATTATTATTCATAGAGGACAGGCTAAATAAAGAATGATAAGATTACACAATGCCACACAGAAAGAAAAAATGTCTCAAAAAGAAAAAGGTATTGAATAACGATTTGTCTTTAATAACGATTGTTTTAAATGAATAACGATTTGTCATATGTTTTATTGTTTTCTCGCAGAAAAAAATTACATCTCCTTCCTTGCCTAAGAAGAAATCGGAACCTTTAAAAGACATTGCAGGTGTGTCTGGTATTGGAATCAATAGACATCCTTCCATCATCTTTAAAGTAATAAAATTAATGAATTACCTTTTATAGAAACAATTGTAAAATTTCCATCTAAATAATATTACGACTCTCTTTTTACAGAGACGTAGAGCATTTGACAAATGCGGAGTCAAAAGACTTCTTTCACCATTTAATAGATTCGAAAATAATGAACATCGTATAGCTGATATTAAAAAACGCAAAATGCCTTTACAAAAAACTAACCATTCACCAGGCTTATCTCCCAAAGAAAAGAGTTATATAATTTGCAGCTGTCAAACGAGATCCTCACGATATGTTAAACTAAAATGTCTTGCCTCAACTGCCATCAAAGAAAATAAAATATTCTCTATATATGGAAGTTGCAACGCTGTACGCAAGGCTTTAGTAGAACGAGGATGGGTAGAAAAAATTCCACCCGATCGTATGAATTTAAGTAAAGTACGTAATGGCACGTTTACGAATAAATCCGATTTGCATGGCGAGTTGGAGAGACTTCTTCTATCAAATTTAGTTGACAAGTACAATCCAAATTTTATCTGGCGAGTGAAAGACGAGCATTATGAACCACCGTTAATCGATATGACGAAGGAGTGCAGTACAGTGGTCAATAAATTGCGAACTGACGCCTTGTGGACGACAAAACAAGGATTGTGTTCATCGATGAAGCGAAATTATTGGTTTTATATTGAAGACGTAGCAGAAGTAAACGGTCCGCGATCATACAACAGTTACGATTTTTGTGAAATAGAAGAGTTTATAAAAGATTATAAAATCACCGCATGTACAAGCCTGTTAAAGTGGGTTATTTCTATGGCCGCGTATAATAGGCCAGTATTCCAGAAATCTGGAAAAATCTCAATTAATGTTCTTGTGTTTGCTATAAACAGATGCAAAGAATATTTATACAGAAAGCAACATAAGGATATTGATAGATCTATGACTTCGGTTACTAGTGGTCAATGGACTGCTTTTTTGAAAAAATACTATACGATAATAGCGAAGCAGGATGTATTTGAAGAAGTCAAACAAAATAAACTTCTATTGTATTTGGGTTATGCAAAGTTTTTGTTAAAGGAAATCTACAAATACCGGCCGCAGCTGAGTTGCGAAGGATGTCATAATATTTGGATAATCAAACCAGCACATTGTTCTCGCGGTAGAGGGATCAGAATGGCATCCAAGTTAGCTGTAATCACTGACTTATTAAACAAGGCTAATGCCAAGTTTGTGATTCAAAAATATATTGGTAAGCATTTCAACTCGATATACTCAACGCTCCCGAAATTAAGGGTCTTGACAGACAGACTGACAACAAAGTTCTTCTATAAAGGTTCTCTTTTTATCCTTTTCCTCAAAAGGATATGGAACCTTAAAATTAGGAACTTTTCAGATACCTATTAAATTGAGTATCAAGGTTTATCTTAAGTGTATTGAATTAAATTTTCGTAATTACAGAGGAGCCACTTTTGATTCATGAAACCAAATTCGATATAAGACAATACTACTTGGTAACAAGTACATATCCCTTAGTAATATGGATGTACAAAGATTGTTATTTAAAATTTAGCTCCCAAAAATACAATCTAAAGAATTATCACGAATCAATACACTTAACCAATAATGCGGTTCAAAAGAAATATAAGAATTGCTTAGGGCGACATGCAGAACTACCGCAAAGCAACATGTGGCATTCTGATACATATAAAGATTATTTATTGAAAATGGGAAAGAAAAAAGTTTGGGATAAAATAATTTATCCTGGAATGAGGAAATCAATAATTGGAATCATGTTGAGCTGCCAAGATACGTTAACGGTCAGCAAAAATCGTTTTGAACTTTATGGTTGCGACTTTATCTTAGACAAAGAGTACAGACCTTGGCTAATTGAAATCAACTCCTGCCCTGATTTGAATAATACAACACAAGTAACAGCTAAAATATGTCCAGCTGTCGTCTCTGATATCATAAAAGGTAAAAATATGGTATCATCCTCATCAGTCCTTTTACGTCCCCACAGCGGGGCTCAGGTTTTCCTTATGGTGGATGGTTAAGAAGGATGGGCCCTCCACGCTAGCCCAATGTGAATTGGAGTCGGGACCAACGGCTTAACGTGCCTTCCGAAGCACACAGTAGCTCGAGATAATAATTTTTAGTCACCCATCCCGTAAATCCATCCCTTTAAAAAACGCTTATCCACTAACTTAACTAGCTCAAAGCCAGCCGAAAAATATAGTATACTAATGAAATTTATGCTTGTAATTATAATAACTTGTATGCAGTTAGTTTAATATTCCATTCATTTTCTTATTATTGAAGTTTTAGTAAACCACTTAGAGTGATTAATACCTAAAATAGTATCTATCTGTTTAGGTACTTCGGTGAGATTAATAAAAATTGTTGCTTTTACAGTCGTTGTAGATTATGCTGCCGATAATAAATCTTCGACAGGGAAATTTGAATGTATTTACCGGCAACCTATTACAACACCAAGATACGGAACTGCAGCAGAGCTCTTCCTCCGTGGTTATACACTACCATTAGATTATTTCTATAAAGGAAAAATAGAAATCAAAGAATCCTATGAAGATCCTGATATCGGAAAAGAATACGATATAAAAAATGTACTGAGTAAACTTAAACAGTTTTATGATACAGATATAATGATAACTCCAGAGGATGAGACAGAAGAAGACAGAGCTTCATTTGAGTGTGAAAATCTGGAAACTGTATCTTGTTCCCATAATACAGAATCGGAAAATGAATTAGATGTTGCAGCCACAGTAATAACGGAACAATTGGATGAAATCATTGACAAAGTGTCTTCAGGAAATGAGTTAACCATAGAACGTGCTATCCTTTCAGATGATATATCATCCTATTCTAAATCGAATAACAATCTAGCTATACTTGATAAGATCAAAAGTGTTACAGATATTAAAGCATTTTTAAAATCAAAATGTAATTGTATAGATTCTAGAGTAATAATGAATGCAAAATCAGTATTTAATTTCAATAAATTGGATGATAGATCAAAAAGAAAAAATAGTCTTAGTGGCGTACACGAAACCGTCAAGGAAATAGTATTACCTAAAGATGTTTATGACTGTAAAAGTAAAACGACCAAAAACGAGATTATCAGAGCTTCTTCAAAAATACTTACGTTTATTAAGCAAAAAGAAAAAGAGTATTTAGAAAGTATTAAAATTTAAATCCTTCATTTTGCACATTCAATTCTCACCAGGGTACACAGTTATAAATAAAATCATCTGTTTTATTACTTCTACAAGAAATGAGAATACCAATCAAAAAATATTCATAAATATTGTCTTTTATTGGAAACTGAGTTTACTTACCCATACCTCGGCAAAACTTCCTGTAAAAGTTGTCACAGAATATATAGTTGGCATTCAGGCGAAGCGAACAGCCGTGTGATTCTGGAAACACATTCGACCGTCGGAAAGCTGAATCCGCGGTGAGATTCATTTTTCGTACCTGTAGGCATAACTCGAACAAATCGGTGGAGCCTTACTGTTGAATTGAACAAGTTACATTTTGACAATAAATCAGCCAAGCCAAACAACTATTTTGTTTATTTCATCTAAAACTGGCAGTGGTGCCATGACCATTTGGTCACGAATCACCTAAACATTTCTTTTATTTAATGTTATTTCAAGAATAAATAATGTATACGAGGGTCAAACTGAAAGTTCTTAGAAAATCAAAAACTGATTACATTAGCCAGTTATTAGTTTTATTATATCTTTTCAAAATATTGTCCATTCACGTCAATACACCGCTGCATGCGATGGAACCACTGGGAAAAGCACTTTGCCCACTCGTCCTTAGGGGTCTCTTCAATGGCATCGCGATACGCAGCCACCGCTTCTTCAGCATTCATAAACCGCTTTCCTTTAAGTTTTTCTTTAATTTTTGGAAATAAATAAAAATCACAAGGCGCGAGGTCGGGGCTATACGGCGGGTGACCCAGTAATTCAACGTTTGATGTCGCCAAATAGTCGATCGTTCGCTTGGCGGTGTGCGACGAGGCGTTGTCGTGGTGAAGGAGGATCCTACTGCGAGGTCGTTTCTCTCGAACTTTTTCCAAGACAAGTGGCAAACAATTGGTAGTGTACCATTCTGCAGAAACTGTTTTTTGATCCTCTAACACAATTGTTGCAAAATGACCTATCCTTCCAAAGAACGAGGCCACCATTTTTTTTCCCGCATTTCGATCTCTCTTCACTTTAGTTGGCAACTCCTCGAAAGGAAACACCCACTGAGCAGATTGTCTTTTGGTTTTAGGATCATAACAGTAAATCCAGCTTTCGTCACCTGTTAGTATGTCGAACACAGCATTTGAGTCACCTCCGTTAAATCTTTCAATCATTTTACGACACCAATCCACACGATGGAGTTTTTGAGCCTCAGTCAAATTATGAGGTATCCACCGGGCGCAAAGCTTCCTGACCGCTAAATGTTCGTGGAGGATTTTGTGCACTTGACTCATACCGATGCCTAAGCTTGTCCGAATCTGTTGATAGGTCACTCTTTTGTCAGTCTCTATCATACGCCGCACAACACAGATGTTATCTTCAGTCGTCGCCGTAGAAGGCCGTCCCTCACGTAAATCATCAGTGAGATTAGTGCGACCACGTTTAAACTCATTAAACCAGTTGTAAACAGTCGCACGAGATGGGGCTTCATCGTGAAAGGCCAATCGTAGTCTATCATAACTTTCTTGTTGACTTAAATGACATCGAAAGTCATAAAAAATCATTGCACGAAAATTTTCTCGTGTTAAATTCATGATGACGTGACACAGACAATTTTCAATTTGCCGCGAAATCGTAAAACAAATGACAAATGAATGAAATATATACTCAGTAATATTGGCAAAGAGTTATATTTTCAAATTTTAGAATTATTTTTTTATTATATTGTGTATAAGTGGCCAGTTCTAAGAACTTTCAGTTTGACCCTCGTATTAGTGTAAAATATTAATACTGCTTTTTTGTTTTATTAACATACAAAACAAGATTAACTTTCTTGTGCCATGAAACTTATAAAGAATACCATTTCAACCATAATATATATTCAACACTTTCAAAGTGGGCTGGGTGATTTCGAATTATAGTTTCAATTTTTACAGAATCGCTCTGGAGGTGAAAATATTGAGGGTTATTCTCAATACCGGTACTCCGATTAGTGGGAGCAGTGGGATTTGTTTCCCAATGCTCTTACTAATGTCTTTGGTAGGAGGAGTGGGAATACTTTTCCTCATTGCTCCGATTAATAACTAGGTTTAGGTTTATCACTTACTTTATTACCCAAAAGTACAGTTAATGAATTTGCATATAGTATGCCTGTTATTTCTACGCATAATTCAAAATGTCCTTGGATTTTTTGTTTTATTATTTATTATTCAGTAAATAATTGAAAGTTATTATTATATTTGATCAATTTTTCATTCACTCTTAGATTTTACAATTCTAAGGCTATAATGATAAATATTTTTAATGAAAAATGTTTAAAAAACCTTCAGGTACCCAAAACATGGCACTAATCATTGAGCTACTTGAGACCCAACAGAATGGTTACTAGTAGTAAGCGTATTTTCCTCAATTCTCAAGCAATCTACACAAACCTTTTATTGATTCGAACTAAAAAAAAATTAATCATTTATCATGAAATCTCAGAAACGTCAAATGCTAGAAGTTCAACAAGACGAAATGTTGTACTCAATGATATTAATACAATGAGTTTAATAACTAGAGAAGCAATCCCATACAACAGACGCGCCAAAAAGCGTAGCACTTTTTCGGAATCAGGACGTAGCTTTGCAAGTAATATTTATACTATATAATATAAATAGATTTATTATATTTGTCTCCCTCATATCTACGATTAAACTTTAAATTAAACAAAGACAGCATATGTGCGAACGACAGAATGAACGGAAAAATGGGTAATTGATATTGTATTGCCAGCTGTCGAAAATTTCACCCATTGTGATGAATGAATGAATGAACGAGTAGTGTAGATATATGTATAAAATCAATTAGTAAAATACTGTAACTTTGAAAATTTCTTTGCAAAAATTTTGAAAAAAAAACAATTACGAAATTAGGCTCTGTGCATATATATCCCTTTGTTTTTCGATAAAGTTAGTGGTTACGACAAAAACATTTGTTAAAGTTCATAAAACATCAAACAAACAATTTTACGTATTTTCAAAAGTTGTATCTCGATAACTAACGAATTATTCCACGCATTGAAAAAAATTAAACCACATTATAGCCACGTTAATTAAAAAGAAAAGGTTCCCATATACTTGGGAAAATTGAAAAAATAGCAGTGGCAACACTGACGACAAAATGTCGAAATTTTATTTGAAAAAAATTAAATATTTTTATTTTATAACCTAGCTTTAATTTTGTATTTATTGCCAAAAATGTTAATGAGTTAAGTGTGAAACTTAATATTATTTCGTATTATGTGTATTTGTGAAAGAGAATCGAATTTTATCTACTGTTTTTCTTTGTTTTTGCGGAGCATTTTTTTGTACTTTCTTGGCGGGAGTTGAATGAGTAATGAAGTGCAAAACGAAAAAACTAAGACAAACGTCTTAGTTTTAGTAGCTTCAGATTTTTGGTATGTATTGCGTATCTAGACATATTAATACAATGATAGAGAAGCAATCCCATACAACGGACGCGCCAAAAAGCGTAGCACTTTTCCGAAATCAGGACGTAGCTTTGCAAATAATATTTATACTATATATTATATATAGATTTATTATATTTGTCTCCATCATATCTATGATTAAACTTTAAATTAAACAAAGACAGAATATGTGCGAACGATAGAATGAACGAAAAAATGGGTAATTGATATTGTATTGCCAGCTGTCGAAAATTTCACCCATTGTGTTGTGATGAATGAATGAATGAAGGAGTAGTGTAGATATATGTATAAAATCAATTAGTAAAATACTGTAACTTTGAAAATTTCTTTGAAAAAACTTTGAAATAAAAAACCAATCACGAAAGTAGGCTCTGTGCATATATATCCCTTTGTTTTTCGATAAAGTCAGTGGTTAAGACAAAAACATTTGTCAAAGTTCATAAAACATCAAACAAGGTTGTTGACGACAGCCACGTGCCGAAAAATGTACAGATCGAACGACCAATCACAGCGCCTACATTTGCGGAATTCTCAGGGAGCCCATTGGCTGAGTATGCGCCGTCCGCACGGTGGGGGCGATTCCCCCACCCGGCGCGCGGGCGTAAAACGCGCTGTGATTGGTCGGCCGCCGCGCGTCACTAGTAGCTAAGTTAGATGTTAAGTTTAGAATAAGGGTAGGGCCAAATTTGTAAATATTTTGTAGTCAAGTCACGTCAGTCAAGCAGTATAGTCAAGCAGTAATAAGTAGCCAGTAAGAAGAAAAATAAAACATCTATAGAAGAAATTCGTCTTTGTTTTGCACCATCCTCTACAGTTTGGTCCTTCGAGCCGGATCAGCACCCTCAACAGTTTGGTCCTTCGAGAAGCCGGATCTAAACACGTATAGAACCTCCGAGATCCAGCCAACAGTGAATCAAGATGGTGCTTACAAGAAGCCAAGACGAAGAAAACCAACGTCGTATCTTCGACCAGCCGCCGAGATCGCCCTCAAGTACACCGACCGTACGAGGACGCCTCGAGACGGGTAACGCCGGGGAGAGCCTACGCACCGCACCGCAAGTCTCGCAACTAGCGCCTAACGCGAACCGCGCTGGGGCAGACGTTGCCGGAGCACGCGTCGCCTTGGCAGTGACTACGCAGCCGCCGAGCGGAGCGGACGAATGCGCAGCACACCCAACGGACACAGCGGCGACTACTGGAATAACGACATCTGCGATGACGTCATCGGTGCAACCGGCGAGGAGAGTGCACGTCGCGCGTTCGACCCGCTCGGCAGCGAGCAACGCGGCACGCCGGAAGCTACGCATCGAAGCAGAAGAACGACTGGCTGCCATAAGACGCCGAGAACTCGAAATTGAAGCGGACCTCATAAAAAAGACGCTCAATATCGAGTTAGAAACGCTAGACGGAGCAGAGAGCGAACCCGAAGCTGAAGAACCGGCAAATAAATTGCAAGATCGAGTGTTCGAGTGGCTCGACGACGCGAACGTCGACCAACAACGGGGGGAGCTCTCAAGGACCGCCGTGGCTGAACCGCCACCTGAACGCGACACGCGACGCCCAGATAGGGAAGAACGAAGACGCTCGTCATCGCGAGGCAGAGGCATCGATCAACTCGCCTCTGTCCTCGAAACCCTCGTGAAGTCACGACCGCCGCCGCGTCAAGCATCGGATCTACCGATATTCTCTGGTTCACCGCTGGAATGGCTACAGTTCGCGACTGCGATGAGAGAAACAACGCGGCTGTACGAATTCACACCTACGGAGAATATGGCAAGACTGAGAAACTGCCTACGTGGAGAAGCGCGGGAAAACGTCGCATCATTGTTGAGCACCGCGACGCACCCCGACGAGATCATGCGAACACTGGAGCAATGCTACGGAAGGCCAGAAAGACTAGTGGACATGGCTTTCGCCGATCTACGGAAGCTGCCGAAGATTGGACCTACCGCGAACGATCTTAACATGTTTGCGGTGAAGCTACAGAACGTCGTGGCCGTCCTGAGGAACGTGCAACCAGAGTACCTGCTTAACCCACTGCTGACCCGGGAAGTCTTAGACAAGATGCCAAGTTACCTTGTATCGAGTTGGTGCAACTTCGCCGAGTCACAGCCGGGCCCGAACGCCGATCTACTCAAACTTTCATCGTTCCTGATGAAAGAAGCTGACCGCTGCATGCGATACAACTATGTATCGAACCTCACCGCACCCTCCACATCGCAACGAACACGTGAAACGCCTCGCCCCGCCCCCATACCGGAGGCTAAGAAGAAGACGGTGTACGTCGCCACCGAAGAAGCACCGCAGCACAGATGCCTTTCGTGCCAGGAAGCCCACACACTACCTAGCTGCCCAAAGTTCAAGCAGCTAAAGTATGATGACCGATGGGAGCTGGTGAAGAAGGAGGGGCTCTGCTTCAAATGCATCGTGGGCCGACACCGTCGATTGAACTGCCGTCAAAAACTCTGCGGAATCAACGGATGCAAGCGACCGCTACACCGTCTGTTGCACGCAGATGAACGTGGAACGACGAACGACGTGGCTACGAGCGCGACCGACTCAAACGCGGGCGCAACGAAACCAGCCACCACCGAAACGACGACAAGCCGCGCCGTCAAATTGAAGATTTGCCCCGTGACAATCACGGGCAAACGTGGGAGCTGCGACACCTACGCGCTCTTCGACGAAGGCTCGACGGTCACCTTATTAGACGACGACCTGGCGCGACAGATCGGCGCCGACGGACCGACCGCACAGCTCAACGTCCGAGGAATTAACAAGAAGCAAAGTCACGTGCAGAGCCGTCGAGTGAAGATTGGAATAAAAGGAACGCGCAGTGACCAGATCTTCAAAATCAACGCTCGCACCATGGTGGGCCTGGACCTCACGCCGCAATCGATACCGGCGGAGGCGATGAAGCTACGACACCTAAGAGATCTCGACGAGCGAGTAGTCGTATACAAGAATGCGAAGCCTCGCATTTTGATCGGGACGGACAACTGGGAGCTCATAGTGACCCGCGAACTACGGTCAGGAAAAACCAAAGAACCAGCTGCCTCCAAAACCGAACTCGGATGGGTAATCCACGGGACGGCGCCATCGAGATCGCTTCGCCGCACCGAGGATATCCTACATGTCGTCACGACCGAAGCATCAGACGACCGACTCGAAGAACTCGTGTCGAGACACTTCCGGATCGACTCACTCGGAGTGTCGCTCGACGCATCACACGTCCGCGAAGAGGACAAGCGTGCCGTCTCCACGTTCGAACGCACCGTGAAGCACAAGGACGGCAGATATGAAGTGGGCCTGCCGTGGCGAAACGACAACGCCAGACTACCACGGAGTTACGACTCAGCACTCCGCCGGCTCACGAATCTGGAGAACAAGTTGAGAAAAGATCCACACAACAGAGAGAAACGCGGCGTTACCGGAGATAGAAAGATTCTCGACGTTCGAGCGACTGATCGGCGCAACAGCACAAGCGCTACTCTTCGTGGAAAGATGCCGCGACAGAACGAGGACACTCAGCCGCGAACATTTCAACCGAGCGACAAATTTATGGCTGCAGCAGGCGCAACAAGACTCCTTCAGCCAAGAAATTGAGTGCCTGAAGAAAGGAGTCCCCGTAGCACGAACGAGCCCTCTGCACCGTTACGACCTCACTTGGGAGGACGGGCTTGTGAAACTAAACGGACGCATTAACAAGGCGGACGTACCGGAAACAGCGAAGAAGCCGGTATTATTGGACGGACGCCACGAACTCGCGAAGAAAATTATTGATCGAGAGCACAGACGAGCGGGACACTGCAACAACGAGCGAGTGGTCAACGACGTCAGGCAGCAGTACTGGATCCTGCGGCTGCGACCAACAGTTAAGAAAGTCGCAGCAGGCTGCCTTATGTGTCGACTACGAAGATCGAAGCCAAGGAGCCCGCCGACGGGGGATCTGCCCGCAGAACGTTTACAGCCCTTCAGACGTCCCTTTAGTCATTGTGGGATTGATTACTTCGGGCCAGTCACCATCAAAATTGGAAGACGAAGAGAGAAAAGATGGGTGGCGTTATTCACCTGTCTGACGATACGCGCCGTGCACCTGGAGCTGGTGGCATCACTCACCACTGACTCCGCAATCATGGCGCTGCGAAGAATGGCAGCACGACGAGGATGGCCCGCCGTAATATATAGTGACAACGGCACTAACTTCCGAGGGGCTGACACCGAGCTCAAGAAGGCGTACACCGAGTGGCTTCCCGAGCTGAAGAGAGAGGCGATGAACTACGATGCCACATGGAAATTCATCGCGCCGGGAGCACCTAACCAAGGCGGAGCCTGGGAACGCATGGTTCGCTCCGTGAAAACCGCGCTCAACGCAACATTAAAGGAACGAGCACCGAAGGAGGAAGTCCTGCACACTCTACTGGCCGAGGCGGAACATGCTGTCAATTCACGACCATTGACGCATGTCTCCGTAGACCCAAGCGATCCGGAGGCGCTAACCCCAAACCACTTCTTGTTGGGGTCATCGACCGGCCTTCCATACACCGGGCCATGTGAAGAGGGCGACCGCAGGACTTGGAGGGCGACGCAAGCACTAGCCGACGCCTTCTGGAAACGCTGGCTACGAGAGTACCTACCGACCCTCGTACCACGCCGCGACCCACAACGTCCACGAAGCAGCGAAGTACGGACCGGAGACGTGGTTATCATAGCCGACCACGCTCTGCCTCGAAACACGTGGCCACGCGGCATCGTAGCCAATACCTACCCTGGACCTGACGGCGTGATTCGGAACGTGGAGATAACGACAAGAGGAGGAACATTTCGGCGGCTGACATCGAAGCTGATCGTCGTCGAACCTGCACTCTCCACGGAACGATGAGAGAGGACGCGCTGCGCGACGGGCACGGGGCTGCCAACCGGAGGAGGCTGCGGAGATCCTTCGCCGGGGGGAGACTGTTGACGACAGCCACGTGCCGAAAAATGTACAGATCGAACGACCAATCACAGCGCCTACATTTGCGGAATTCTCAGGGAGCCCATTGGCTGAGTATGCGCCGTCCGCACGGTGGGGGCGATTCCCCCACCCGGCGCGCGGGCGTAAAACGCGCTGTGATTGGTCGGCCGCCGCGCGTCACTAGTAGCTAAGTTAGATGTTAAGTTTAGAATAAGGGTAGGGCCAAATTTGTAAATATTTTGTAGTCAAGTCACGTCAGTCAAGCAGTATAGTCAAGCAGTAATAAGTAGCCAGTAAGAAGAAAAATAAAACATCTATAGAAGAAATTCGTCTTTGTTTTTTACCATCATCAACGGTTATACAACATCGTCTACAGTTTGGTCCATAGAGCCGGATCAGCACCGCTACAAAGGTTCAATGAATTCCACGCATTGAAAAAATTATATCACATTAGCATCTGTGTGCGTGTATAAAAAAAATATCAACACAATTAGCGCAGTTGCCTATACTTAAGCTGAGCTATAAAATTAATTATAAAAAGATATTTTGATAAATTATAGCCACGTTAAATAAAAAGAAAAGGCTCCCATATACTTGGGAAAATTGAAAGTGAATAGCAGTGGCAACACTGACGACAAAATGTCGAAATTTTATTTATGAAAATTAAATATTTTTATTTTATGACCTAGCTTTAATTTTGTATTTATTGCCAAAAATGTTAATAATTGAAGTGTGAAACTTAATATTCTTTCGTATTATGTGTATTTGTGAAAGAGAATCGTATTTTATCTACTGTTTTTCTTTGTTTTTGCGGAGCATTTTTTTGTACTTTCTTGGCGGGAGTTGAATGAGTAATGAAGTGAAAAACGAAAAAACTAAGACAAACGTCTTAGTTTTAGTAGCTTCAGATTTTTGGTATGTATTGCGTATCTAGACATATTAATATCATTGTTATTTGCCATTTCGCGCGCCGTTGCTATTCAAATTTCGAACTAATCGCCGCGCGGCGCCAGTCAGTAGGCAGCGCTAGCGCGCTGTTAAAATGGCGGGAACCCAACAGTGTACATTCACAGATTGAGTTTATTTAAAATAAAAAAAATCTGCATGCTCTAACGTCTTTGTCGACATTTTCACGCAGCTACGGCAGAAAATAATCCTCGCGCCATTTTTCTCAAATTTTCTTTCTTTGTACTTGTATTGTGCATATCTAAAAATGACAACTTTCAATAATGAAGAAGAGCAATATATTACTTCAACTCCACCGGATATACTAACAGAAGCGCGAACCGCATGCGACAGCTTGCTGCCGTCAATATCCAAAGACAGATATATGACCACATATGAAAATTTCTTGAAGTGGAAAAACATGAAAAATGCCAAGTCATTTTCCGAAAATGTAGTTTTGGCGTATTTTAATGAACTAGCTAGTACATATAAGCCTAGCTCGTTGTGGACAACATATTCTATGCAGAAAAGTACGCTCAAGATGAAAAATGGTGTCGATATTAATTTATATTCAAATCTCCTTGCATTTTTAAAGAGACGCTCTGATGGTTTTATAAAGAAAAAGTCTAAGGTACTGTCATCAAATGACGTCGAAAAGTTTCTAAGAGATGCTCCAGATAGCCAGTACCTGGCTACAAAGGTCAGTTTGCCTCCTTATTTTATGTATTGATCTACCTACTGTACATACTCTTTTACATATTTTTTAACGACCGTCTATAAGCTAAGTACCTATAACTTATCTAACACATTTTTATTTTTTAGGTTTCGTTAATATTTGGTATTAATAGTGCATATAGACGGCAAGAGCTTCACAATATTACCACAAATGACATTGAAAATCGAGGCATAATGCTTTTAGTTAAAATCCCAAACACTAAAAACAAAATACCCCGATCTTTTATTATCGACGGCCCATTTTGTAACGTGGTCGAAAAATATGAAGCTCTGCGTACGACTAAGGCAAAAAATAATAATTTCTTTCATAATTACCAAAAAGGTAAATGTACTACGCAACCTATTGGCATAAATAAATTCGGTGCCATGCCAAAGGAAGTCGCCAAGTTTTTGGATTGCCGGATGCTGATTGTTATACAGGGCACAGTTTCAGAACAACGTCAGCTACATTACTTGCTGATTCGGGAGCAGATATATTGACTTTAAAGCGGCATGGCGGGTGGCGTTCTAACGCAGTAGCAGAATCTTATATAGAAGATTCCATCCAAAACAAAGCAAATATAAGTGCCAAAATAACTCGGGCAATAAATTTGGAGCCACAAACGAAGAAGTTTTGCCCTGAGCCGCGCCCCTCTACTTCTACTGATAATATTTTTTTATTTACAACTAATGACGAATTACCATGCTCTTCTGCCGCCTTTCAAGAAGTTTCGTCATCTCCAACATTTACCCTAACACAAAACAATGACATTATGAATAGTAATAATAATAATAACAATGTATGTTCGTAGATTAAGTTTGTGAAGGAAAATAAATAAATAATATTATTATTATTACGTTGTTGTTGTGATCTCTCAGCTCGAAGCTGGCCAGTTCCATGTAATGACGGGCACATGCCAAGTTATTACATTCTTCAATTTATTAAATCTTTTTCCTGTTCTTCGGACTGCATGAACCTTCTGACCAGTAGCGGCGTTAGGGTAGGGCGCGGTTGGGCGACCACCCAGGGGCGCCGGACGAAAAGGGGCGCCGCAGGCCGCGGCGCCCCTTTTCGTCCGGCGCTTCTTTCTGATGCTGTATAATGAGGAAGTATTTTAAAAAAACGAAAGCACTACAAAAAATACCTCCACCTAGATGGCGGCTCTAGCGAAAGTTGATTTTTGGAGGAAACGAATGGAACAAAGACAGTCATTTCCGTTCATTTTAACTAACATATTAAAAAACTGAAATTTGAAGAGTTCGAAACTTAGATATCAATACAAATACGAAAAAGTGCAAATAGAATATGAGTTGTTAATTGAGTTTTGAAAACTAATTTACTTTTAAACATGAGAGAAAACTGGAAGGGTTGTCATGGAGAAATCAAGAACATACCGTAGCGACATCTAGTTTGATTTCGGGAACTAATGTTTTTTTTTAATTTCTAATACTTCCTCATTTCCCACAGACACCCTCTTATAGTTCCCTTGCTCATTGAACAAGGCCTACTGGGTCGGCGAAAAAAGAACAATAACCTTGAGGATTTTTATTTTTTTATTTTCAAGTTGCCTCACTTTCAGCATGAATTGAAAGGAAACTTAACAAGAAAAATATATTATGGTAAAACAGAACAACATACCGATTACCAATATGAAGATATGTATTTTATTAGGTAATATGACGTACATTGGAGGGCATTATCGTTCAGTCATTTAAGAAAATTTTCGTTTGAGCATGTTTAAACGTTAAGCTGAAGCTAAAATGCTGCAATACAAACGAATGCATCGGCAGTGGAGCCTCTTTCTAGCAAGTCAGATGGAATAGCTACTCAAGAGATTGTGGATGAAATATCCCGAAGTAAGGGAGCAAGTAGTGCTATGATTACAGATGCTGCTCAGGATAAATCTGTTATACAAATACATGTACTAGATGATGTTGATACTGTTGTCCCGAATATAGGATCCAGCTACTTGTCCACTTATTTGAAATAGCAAAATAATTGATTATATAATAAGTAGTGGCCCACTGCAAACTCACTGTCACAAAGTTACAACAATTGATAACAATTATGTGACACTCTGTTAGGGTAAAATTGAATCTGTACTAACCTAATGATGTGATCCGTCAAAAATGAATCGGCTACTTATACGCTATTTATATGTTTACGTTTTAAATAAAACTAATGTCACTTTATACTTGGAACAAGAACATCGTAACGTAGCGTTAAACATTTGATTACTGTGTTTGTTTCTTTTAAAATAATCGAATAATTCTTTTAAGAGCATCCATTTATGTCAAGCAAGAAGATAATTGTTGATTTTGTTCTTCGTCAAAAATTAAAAGAGATAGATCTAGGGAATCCCCGATTATAGAAAATAGTCGGGGATTCCTGAGAAATTAAACCGATTGAACACTACTTTCCATTCTAATGCTGTCAAGTTAACAATCTATCTAAATTTAGGGAAGATTACAAGTAAGTAGGCCGGGTCGGCGAAAAAAAAGACAAGTAAGGGGGCGTCCATAAATTACGTGAGGTGTTTTTTTTTAATTTTCTGACCCTCCCTCCCCCCCTGGTGAGATGTCGTGAGATTTTATTCAACCGCCTCCCCCATTCCCCAATCTCACGTGAGATTTTTCAAAATGCAATTTGATGAGTATGTGGCGACTGATATATAGCGACATCTAACTCATCGCACTAACATCGCCACAACAATCGATAGCGAGAAGACTAGCATTGTCACAGCCATCGATAGCAAGACGAACTGCAATAAATTTCAACAGCAAGTAACGAGGTGGCGCTGTACCAATACAAACAGCATAAATTAATAACTACAAGACACTTAGAACAAAGAAACCTACATCACACAGAATAAGTTTAATTACCAATTAACATAAATAGAACGTCCAACCTACATCGGTTGGACCGCGGTCCCCGGGCTAACAACACCTAGCTCGGAGGGAGACAATTATCCTTTAGTCTCCCTGGCCAGTTGTCTCCATCACCACAATAGGGACCCAACCTTCAACCATACGGTTCTTAAAAGTACTTGCGAGTATTTGCCTTGTTGTAGTATCGAATACTCAGTATCGAGTATAGCTTTTGAAAGTTTCGATACCTACTCGATATCGAAAGTATCGTTAGAACCCTACAAATATGGTGGTTTGACATTCAGTAGATGTATAGCGTCGAAGAATGAATGAAATTATTTTCTTTTGAACGAATTAGTGAATGATCTTAATCGTATACGCTTACGCTTAAGATTAAATCTTAAGCATGTACAATCTGGATTAAATGGACCAAAATAGTATTTTTTTGTTTTTGTTTCAATGAGAAAAAAAAATTGCGTGATATTTGCCGAGACCCCCCCTCTCTCCAACGTAAGATTAGATGAGATTTGCCTCGACCCCCTCCCCTCCTAAAACATCTCACGTAATTTATGGACGCCCCCTAACTGATTTGTAGTATGTAGTAGTAACTGATTGTAATTGAATTGCAGTTAGAGGGCGCAGAAGAAATTTCGCCCAGGGCGCCAGTAGTGCTAAAACCGGCACTGCTTCTGACTATGCGGCACGTATTCAGAATGGCGGCCTTCTGCAACATGCCGATGACATTCCCACCCAGATCCATTGACCTCAAGTGCCGCACAGTTTGGTGTGGTACTACCCCAGTGGTCGATATGACTATAGGGTATTATATAGACTATGTCTTGTTTCCATATTCTCATAATTTCCTCTTTTAGGTCTGCGTATTTACTTAATTTTTCTGATATCGTTTTTTGGATGTTATGGGTGTTAGGTACCTACTGCAATGTCTATTATTATTATTATTATAATTAAAAAACCAACTACAACTATGTATCATTTTAATAATTGTAATTTCACTAACTGTTTTAATAATTAAAAATGACCACAATATAAAATGTTTTTTTTTTCTGTTTCCTCGCAAATATATTAAAAAACGTCGTACGATATACGTGCGTATTGGTTATACCTATATAACATGCGAGGCGGAATTTCAGCCCAAGCCGAAGGCGAGGGCGTAATTGAGCCGAGCATCATAACGCACTAATATCGTAATGTACTATTAAATTATTTATCTGTTTTTTCCAAATATGATGTAGGTCTATTAGGCCTCTCCCTTCGTCTTGTCTTTTGATAGTTAGTCGTTCTATTGCAGATTTAGGGTGGAGATTATTATGAAAGAAAAGTGCGTGTGGTTCGTTCTATATACGATATATCTGTTTTTGTCCATTTTATGATTCCAAATGAATAAGTTAAAATTGGTATTGCATAAGTATTTATAGCTTTTATTAAATGTTTTCCTAATAGATGGGTTTTGCAGACGGCATTTACTCTTTTCATGTATTCATTAATTAGTTTTTGTTTGATAGCTTTGTGATCCAAACATTTTAATTGCTGAAAGCCTAAATATCTATATAGTTCAGATGGTTCCATCGCTGTAATGGTATCGGTGTGGTAGTCACCGGACCGGATTTTGCCTTATTATTATTATTATTTATTAATATATAAATTCAATTATCTTAGTACAAAACAATATACTCAATTAACTTCAAATAACAGCCTCGACTGTACTTTTGTAAGAGGTAAAAACGAAACCCATTCTATCGCACAAATCAGAAAAATCTCCTACCAAACAAATTGATCGGAGATTTGTAAAACAAAAACCCACTACTACAATTGAAGTTCCGGCCGGATGACTTGGAAGAACTCAAAATACTACATAACACAGGACTTTAACTTTTTGGGTTATTCACAGTCACTTTATTAGGAGCAGAGGGTTTTTTTTCCAAAACCTCCGAATAATAGGTTTGGTAGGAAGAGCGGGAATACTTCTTCCCATACCTCCGATTGCATGAATTTTGTTTTCAGCATTTTCTTTACTTGCAATGCAGAACTTCCATGCAAAAAGTTATGTTTAAATCCTCTTTGGTCCTTTAAAACTAAATACTTGATTCTTGTAATTCGTAGAGTAACTAAAATAACTCATTATTCGAAATTCAGGGTATAGTGGACAAACTTAACTTTATATGAATCAGCCAAAAACGAAGACATCAAATAAACGTATGAAATTTTATTTCATGATGATTGGAGTATTTTTTTAGCCCGATAGATTACCGATTTTACATCACAGCTCGTTTGGCACTACAGACATTAAAATTAAATTGTTTTTATTTGAAAATTAAAAACCATAGCTCCTCTTTTGGACTTTGGATGACGAACATAAAATAGATAGGTATACAGCCAGTTACATTAACGTCCATTAAATTAAAGCCACATTACCGTTACAAAATTGACATTAATTAGTTAGAGCTTAATACGTTATTAAACCTTAATGACGTTTGAGCAAATGACCGTTAGGGCGCTTGTGCACTACACTGAATTTTCAGATCCGGCGGTCCGATTTTTTCCGGTCCGGAATGACATGAAAAACTCGGATGAGTAGCTTGTGCACTTGTCCGTTTTTTTCCTGATCGGAGCGGCGTAGTGTAGGGCAGCTCCCTTTGAAGCTACACGTCACTTACGCTAGGTACGATGAGATTTTTGGAACGTCGGTAATTCCGTTCGAAGACGTAGAAAGGTACCTAAATAATGATCTGATCGTTTTACATAAACCATAATAAATTATGGCAAGACGAAAGCATTTTTTTACTACTATCGGATGACTACTATCAGATGTAAAAACTTATACCCTTACTAATTTAGGTACAGCATTATTCACATTCAATAGCTAAAAATGTCTGTGACATTAGAATAAAATTACTGATAATGGTCTAGTACTTGATGTTTAAATTTTTAAAGGTGCTATTTTTTTTTCGAAGTTTTGTAAAAATAACTTTCAGCGATTACAGAGATAGACCAATCGGTGGCGCCATTTCGTAAACAAATCGAAATTAGTGCCGTGTAAGCGGAGAATTATTATGCTAAATGAACTTTACGAGACCAGTTGATTGTATTATATAAAGGCATAATTTTATACGCGTGGTGTAGTTTTTTTGAGCAGAAATATTATTCCCTTAGAATACTTCTTTTTTTAAAATTTATTAATGACACAAACATACATTTAAAATTTTATTAAATGCGAAAAAGACATTGAGTGTCACTTAATGACTTTTTTAATCTTCTGTTTATTCTTTATTATTATTTCTGTTGCCAAATATTTATCTATACTTATCAATTGTCTAAAAAAAAATTGATAATGACAAATTTCCAGGCAAACTTTCATCCACTATTTTTGGCGATAAAATGTAGCCTATGTCCTTTCTTAAAGTTAAGTCTATTTACTATATTCATTTCCATTTAGATGGGTTCAGTTATTTAGGCGTCTAAGTGTAACAACACTTATTTTTCTTACCTTAAGCTATCGATACTTTTAATACGATTCTAAAATCTAGCTAAGTATCGATACTAGAACCATACGCTGATCAAATTAGAACTATACCGAGTTTGCCAAAGCATATGCAGTGATATATACCAACTATATTAAATCATCATATAAAATATAGCATTTTATAATCAACAATAAATATCGATTATAAGTTTATTGGAAATTAACAATATTGCCGAAATAAATATCTATTCAATTCGATTATTTTTTTCCCAAGCCTATTCCTTATGAATTTTCCGGATCTCGGACACAGCAGTGCACAAGCGTAAACACGTTTCTCATTGCCGCCATCACGGACCTGAAAAAACCGGTCCGGAATAGGGAAAAGTAAAATTCCGGACGGTAAAATTCCTGACAGTGCACAAGCGCGCATTACCTACATATGGCCTGACATATCGGACCTGAAAAAATCGGACCGCCGGGCAAGAAAATTCAGTGTAGTGCACAAGCGCCCTTAATCTATTTAAAAAAAGAAGACTATATATCGTCGCTGTCAGTTCAAAAGGACGTATGTCAAATTTTTTTATTTTTTTTAAATAGCTGTATGCGTAGTTTGGAACGTAATCTTTCATGTGTCAAAATGTC